CTTTAAACTTATCATTTTTTGTGTGTATGCATAAAAATTTACTGTTATTAATATTTTCATTGTTATTATCAAGTCCTTAACATACAGGTGCAAGAAAATGTTATTTTGTGGTTTTGATCGATTCACTTTAAAAATTGACAGAATTCTAAGAATTAAAGGAAGTACCTCATTCCTTAAATATGTAGGAATAAAATAAATTCTGGCATCGTAATAACCTGGCAATAACATTTTACTAAAAAAAATGGGAAAATCAACAACATGTAGGCATTCAAAACACGTTCTTTTCAGTTAACAATAAATAAGCAGGCAGTTGGTGGAGTGAAAATACTTTTGTTTTTTTTTTGAAAAGATGCACGACATGTTCAATTTCTTGTTGTTAAAGGAAGCTTACAAGCTGGTGCTCTATTGTGTGAAAAAAGAGAAAGAAATGAGAATGAGACGAGAAGAAAATTGAAATATTTTCTTTATGACCTACATAATGGGTGAGATTGTGTCATTAGCGCATTTATTGTTTGGATGTATTTTTTGTGACGCTTATTGGATGTGACTGTGAAAACTATTTTAAGTTTGATACAGCGACCTAACTTCAACATCATGGAAACCCTAGGTGTCATTAGAAATTGATGTCTTAGTCATTATCTCCCATATCTGTCTCTTTAGCAGGCTATCAACTTTCAAACGCTTATACTAAGTAGCTTTCTAGATCTATCGATACATCTTAGATGTGATTCTATTACATGTTAACAAGACCATACAAAGAAAATGCACTGATCTCTATCAAAAAATGATTCTCAACCAGATTTCTGTCACTAAACCTTTAAAGACTTTCTTTCACTTATGGCTGCCCCTCACAAACATGTCGATAAATCCAATTATGGATCTTTTGCATTTTATGTAGTTTATTTTAGTCGTATTTGAGTTTGAATCTTTGAAAGCTCATGAAAATAAACAGTATATTGAGCAAATATTGAGCTGAATCTTGATGAAATCTTAACTTGTCATTCTAAATAGGACTCAAACCCACACTTTCAAAGAGAGGGAATTCAAATTTTTGCTAGGTACCTTAACAGTCACTTTTCTACTTGATTCAATATGGAAATCAGTGTGACTACTTGAAACACTGTGTACATTTTAGATATGCATTCAGCTAGTGATGAATATTTCAAAACAAAAACTCATAATTGACTTTCTTTTTACAATAAGTTTCTCACAATTCCCCCTTCATGAGAAAATTAGTTCACACAATACCCGGGAAACAGTTTAAATAAGGATAAACTGAGAACAAAAGCAACCCCTTTCTCTCAAAAATTCTGGCATAAGAAAAGGAAAAAAAAAATAATTTTTTTCGTTCGGAAGACATGAGGAAGTTGAAGAGGAAAAATTATTTATTCGTAACTGTACAATCGACATTTTCAACTTTCTTTCGACTATATTTTTCATCTTCATTCATTGATACGCATACATATGGTGAGAAGTCAAAATAAGGCGAAGGATGGAAGGCAGCAGATAGCAACAGCAATGAGTTTGTACATTTTTTTACTTCTTCCAAAAAAAAAATAAAATAAAAATATTTTCAGCAATAAGAAATGGAATTTGGCATGACACATTTTTCTTTATTTGTCATAGTTGAACGAAAACTTTTTTTTTGTGTGCCACATCGCTTTTAAGACAAATGAAGGAAGAACATGATCCGAAATAATAATTATGCACATGTTTCACTTCACTTCATTGCTTTGTGTCGTGCTCTGTTCTCCGTTCCGTTTCGATAACAAATTTTCAAATTTTACGCATTTTTGCATAGATGGAATTGGAAAACAACAAAAATATTCTTTGTAGCTTAGCTTGAAGAGTTTGGTTTAAATGGGGTATTGGCGGTGGCATTTTGTCTATTTTTCAATTATTCGGGAAATCTTTTGGTAATTTCTGAGCGGTGAAATGGCATCAGTGGCCTTACGTGCCAAAGGTTCTAGGTTCAATTCCAGGCCAAGTCAAGTTTGAGAAGCTCTTTTTCCATTTTACGTTCTAGTTATGAAATTCGGTTCGTGTGTTCGATGCAGTTTTGAGGTCTTCGGCACATAACGTGCCTCTTTTGCTAGGTATAGACGGAATCGTGTCGTTGCAATGTGCAGAGCTTGCAATTGATTCGGATTCCACTATAAACTGTAAGTTTAAAGGGTGTGGTACAAGAGATTATATTCTAATTTGAAAAGTTGTGCCTCCAGCTCAAAAGGCTGGGCCCTCTCCATGATTTAACATTTTTTTTGTGGTTTTTAAAAATTTAATATTGGCTATAAGTTGTGATTAAAAAGTCTTTCGTCTTAACACACTGAGAGCTAACGTTTGGCATTTTCAGTTGTGAATCATACTTATCTCAACGGATTCAACTAAATGATTTAAGAATCTTAAACTTAGATCAGCATGTCGTAGTTTCGAAACTCGAAGGGTTTGCAACTAGTCATAATTAATTTCAATAATGGCTTTTCTCTTTAGACTTAATTACTTGATTTTCAATATTCTAGAGTCAGTTGTCAGTCTTAGTCTAATCCTATAGCTTTAATACTAATAATAATAATAATGTGTGAAGGGCCCAGCCTTTCAGCTGGAGGCACTGCGATTCAAATTAGAACAGAATCTATTGTACCACATCCTTTAGACCTACAGTTTATAGTGGGATCCGAACCACTTGCAAGCTCTGCACATTGCAAAGACACGAGTACGTCATAAGACCTAATGTACCCTGCAATGTACCTAGTCACAATTCGTGTGCGCAAGATGCCGTAAAGAAGTCATCCAGATGCTACTATGTCCTTGTATACCTAGCAAAGGAGGCATATTCTATGCCAGAGACATCAATACTACACCCAACACACGAACCGAGCTCCGTAACTAGAACGGTGAAGTGGAAAAAGAGCTTCGAAAATTAGATATGGCCTGGGATTGAACCCGGGACCTTTGGCACAGAAAACCAGCGCTCTACCATTTAGGCCACTGATGCCATTTCACCGCTTTTAGCTTTGATACTAGTAACCAAAAAATTACACTGGTATATTTTAAAAGACAAGGTTATAAACTTTCATGTAGGTCCATTAGACATGCCTTAACATCGAGCCTATACCATTATATAATTCAGAGAGACATGTTCCAATGAAATAAGTTGTTCTATAAATAGAAAAAGCACTTTTGAGCTACATTAACACTTACATTTCCAACCAGCTTCTCCTTTTTATGTATGGCATTTTCAAAATTTATATATTTCCATTCTCGCAGAAGCCTATTCGCATAAATATATTCGAAACATCCTAAAAATGAGAAAAGTTCATATTTACGAGACTGCTGTCGCAAGGAAATGACAATAAAAATATAAAGAACACTGCCAATGGTGATAAAACTTTACAATAGTGATGAGCGAATGTATATAAAAATACTGAGAGAAAAAAAGAAAACTTTTTCCGCCTCATTCAACTGTAATCATCATCGTAATAGAGCAAGCAAAAAAAAAATCGGATACTTTTTCCTCGCACGCATCGAAAATTAGCATCAACAGAAAATTAACGAGCAATTTGTAGAGCGATACTTGAGGGAGAGATGTTCAAGATTGAAGGAGAAGTCAGGTAGGAATCAGAAAGATAGCAAATGGGATCATTAATGTAAATGCTTTACAACAAACTGCTTTTAATTTCCATCATTCTTTTTTCTCACGAACAGCATGTAATTGAATAATTAAATCAAAAGCGAACTTTTTAAGAAATCGATAAATTAGAAAATTTTAAAAAGAAAACATTTGGTGAATTTAGTCAAGACACATGAAGTAGATGAAGCACGTTTTGTGGTGAATTTGACAAATTTTAATACAATATCTTAAGTTGTTTTATTTTTAAAATGAAGAAGAATGTAAAATATGTGTGGGAATGATGAATTATTTACACAATTTTGAGCCTTGACCAGAACCTGACTGAAATGTGAATGTTGACAAGTTTTGTGTACAATTAGTGGCTTTTAATCCCGCTTTTTATTTTATTTACTTCTCAAAATTAATTAACTCAAAGGATTTGTTGGTTTCTATAAGATTCTTAAAGTTAACTCAACAATATTCTTAAATAACGATTAATTAATGTCTTCTTGAAGATCTTTGAACATGTTTTGAGTAAGAATAATCAAAATAATCTAAACTCAGCTAGTCTCCATTCTCTTCTCTTTCTTAAAATGACTTTCAAAAATGTGAAATTGTAATTTTATTAAACTTCTTGTTGAAAAACTCAAACTCGACTCAAACGGTCAACTATAATACAAAATATATTATTCTGAGCAGGAAATAGTTTAAGTGAGGAAGAGCTAGAACATGAAGTTAAAAATCTTAAGAACCGGGTAACGGGGAAAAAGCATCAGTGGCCTAAGTGGTAGAGCGTTGGCCTTACGTGGCAATGGTTCTGGGTTCAATCCCATGCCATGTCTAATTTTCAAAACTCTATTTCCATTTCATCGTTCTAGTCACGAAGATCGGTTCGTGTTTTCGGTGTAGTTTTGAGGTTTTGGGCACATACATGTATCCTTTGCTAGGTATTTAGGATATACTAGCATCTATATACTTTCATTACGGCATCAATTGCACACGAATTGTGACTATGTACATTGCAGGGTACATCAGGTCTTATGACGTACTCTCGTGTCTTTGCAATCTGCAGAGATTGCAAGTGGTTCGGATTCCACCATAAACTCTAGGCTTAAAGAGTGTGCTACAAAAGGTTTGCAATTGCAGTGCCTTCAGCTCAAAAAGGCTATGTCCTTCAAGCATTAAATTAATAGTTTAAGTATCAAACACAAATTATTTAGCAGGTTGAAATGAAATTAATATTTGGTTCTGGAAATTCTATTCTTCTTTGTTAAGATACGAATAATTTAATTAATTCAAGTCAAGTTAGTAATGACGTAGGATATTGCGTGATATTTCAATTTTTCGTCATGCCATTTTTGTTTCAAAATAAAAAATCTACAAAACAAGCTATTTTCGCTTTAAAAAATATTTTTATTATTTAATATTTGACGTCATCAGTAAATTACTCCCAAAATGAACAACAATATCAACGAATTTCGTCATCTTGGCAACAGTATTTACTGCTTATGGATGATTAATATTCAAGTAATAGCAGCTAATATTCAAACTTTTTTCAAGTCAATTCCCAAAGTCCCTGAACATGTCACTCACCTTGCCTGTTTCCCAAAAATTTATTGACAATTAAATGAAAAACAAAGCCAAGAAAATCATCTGTAAATTTTTTACGTTCTACTGTTTTTCGTCTGTAATTAATTGTCATCGAGATATAAAGCACAATAAAAAAAAATTTTATTGTATCATTCATCATGCTTTACTTTCTCATTTCAATTTTCTATAATTATGAAGACCTCAAAAATACTTTTCATCCCATGCTCAATTTGCAAAATTGATTTTTCTTTTCACTTTTATCTCATTTTCTTCTCTTCATTTTGTCATAATATCACGTGCGTACCATTTTCATCTTCTCATTTTGAAAACTTTTCTCTCATTCATTAGTAAAATAAATACAGCAAGTGATAAATGTTTTTTTTTTAACAAAAATATAATTTGAATATTTTGCAAGAAAAAATACAGATAAAGGATTAAGTTAATGGAGAAATTCTTGCTATGTCTCGCGTTAGAGCTTGGTGCTAAACTTATTGGATGGTGGCATTTGATTAACGCAATTTGTTGGACGTCTGTTCTTAGCTACTTTTTATTTCCATACATTACTAGTCGTGAGTATTTTTGGCGCCAAATTACGGAATATATCACGGATTTAAGTAAACAAAATTGTCTGGTGAAAAATTGTGAATATTATTTGGGGTTGATCTTAAATGATATCCTTCGGAAATGGAAATAGTAGGCATCAGATCCCTGAAGATCCATAGATGTGCGTTATATTCTTTATAAGGCTAATGATAGTATGACGAGAGAGGGTTCACTAGACCTCCCGCTCAAACTTAGTGCTACAATTTATAGTGGGATCCGAACCACTTCTCTGATGACATTTCTGTATGTTGCCTACAAAGGAAGGCTGTGAGCCTTATTTCCAGTACATATTATGGTTCAAAAAAGGACAAATGAAAATTTCCCATGCCGAGTGTCGTACACATGTTCGCCGTGTCAATTAAGTACCGAAGTAATAAACCATTCCACCACCGAGCCACTTCAGCTCACAGCCTTTCTCGATTCTAGCTATTAATCAATTCATAGCTTAGTGTCACTCAGTTCTAGTCAGAGACAAAGCTAAGGAGATTTAAAATTTTTAGAACCTTATTTAAGAATTTTGCTGGACTGGGCTCAATTCATAGTTAAGTTTTTAGTTCTCATGACACACGGGGCAAGGTTCTCGGTCGCTTTCGCTAGCTTTTCTACTACAAACCCCTTCAAAAACTGTTATCAGTTCAATCTTAGCTTCCAGACCCTTTCGTTCCTTAACATGACACATCATAAGCCAACAACCCCTTCAAAATACCTCAAAAATTATTATTACAATAAATTAAAAAGATTTTAATCGAGTGGGAAGTGAATTGTAAAGCCAACGACCACTAAATTTGATATCATTTAAAATTATATTAGATGCTTGTTAGCCAAATAGTCAGGCTGATTGAAAAAAAGATGTTATGATGAAAAGCTTAATGAGAATATTGAGAATGTTAGCCAAGTTTTTGATAGCTGATTGACGACATAATTTTAATTGCGATGATTAGGAAGTTATTTTTAATGGGGAACTTAAAATTACTCGGAGATTCTTGGCACATGACAGATGTTTTTGAGATTGTATTAAAATTAGATCAAGGTTAACAAACGCCGGCTATTGATGCAGAATTATGAGGAAAAAATTTTTTTGTTTGTGTGCTTTTCAATTAAAATAATTTAGTCCAAGAACGGAGCTAGGGGACGTCCTTAGTTGAGTTTAGTATTAAAGCTTGGACAATGTCAGGTTTTACCTCAATTTATTTTCTTACTTAGTGTAACCATGTTCCTATGTGGAGCTTAGGTTACTACAAAAGGATTTCCTTCTGACTTTGTCACCTAGTTTATACAACTTCTCTGTCCGAACATTTAGCTGACATTCTTTCATCACTGTTCTGCACTAAGTAGCTTTTGGAGCTCCTGGGCGTCTTTTTCCTTGCGGATTCCAACAAAGGGCGGTGTAGTAAACTTGTGTTTCTGTCCCAGCAATGACATTCTCTATGACATTTTTCTTTCGAAGTGTATGTCCGATCCAGCCGTCCTTCCTCATCCATATCTTGTTGAACTGCTTTCTCTAGAAGCTTATCCGCATCCCCCGAATAGAGCTCATATAAATTATGAATGTTATGCCACTGAGACATAGTCATTGATTCGTACTTCTATGTTGATAGTTTTTGATTAAAAACCCTAGAAAATTGTAGAAGTTTTCATAAAGTTCAACCACAAAACTGTTCTATATTCTGCCTTCGAGAGACCATGCATTAAAAATACTTCCAAAAGCATCCCAATTTTTCAGAGATAATTCAAATTATTTTTCATTTTAACCCAATAGAACTAGCAGTCATGATGATATACGTGCTGTCACTACTTGTTTTTGCACTCTACATCAAACGATGTGTTGACTTAATACAGGGCGCTAAACAGGTAATCAGGCTCTACAATTTATGAACAAAATCTTATTTTGACTTGATTTATTTTAAGTGTGATTTCTTCAGAGTTAACAACTTTAAGTCAATGCTGCTGATCTTCATAGCTATATTTACACTACAATTATCATGGATTGTCTTAACACATCGAACGGCATTTCCTGTGCCTAAAATGTTTCTGATTATATTCACAGCAATATCATTAGTTATTGAAATTTATAGCTTTCTTGTTCTTGACGCATTCGGCCTTAAACTTCAAGAAATTTTAAGCAGCCGAACAGCCGAAGTTGTGTGAATCAGCATGCCAACAGATGTGATTGTGATCAAATAAAAAAAAATTATATTGACTTTTAATTTATTTTCTACGTCTGTGATGCGGATAAGGAAATTGTATCAAGAACGTATTGCAAGTAGGAAAATTTTTCGTCGACTGTAAATATTTTCATTAAAAAAAATATAAATATTAAAATGAGAGAATGAAAGTCTATAAAATATTGCATATACTGAGAGAAATGAGTGAGAATAAGAAGATAATAAAAAAAGTGTAATTTTTTAAAATGACTCGGGTCTATTTTTAATTACCGTCGTGTTTGTTTTGGTTGCTTCTTAATAAACCTGGGTAATGAATGAGGAATTTTTGAGAAGTGCTGAATGGTTAAGTGACAGATGGATTGAGTTTGTTTGACAAGTTTAAATTTGAATTGTTTCAATTTTTGGATGCAAAAGGTAAGTTTTCAACACATAATGAGAAAAATGTCCGTTGTTTTTTCAGAAATTTGAAATTTCCCGCAATTTTTACGAGTTTGTTTACAAAAAAAAATGTGTTCGGAAAACATCCGAAACACTAAACTTCAATTGTATGTTTAATTAATGCTTTTTCGTGCTCCAATATGAGTTTACTAGCATTATTTGAAGTCTAGTAATGGATTGAAACTTTTTCAAAGGCTAAAACACATGAAATGAAGTTGAAATTAGAGAATAAAGTTTCAATTTAAAATGCAAACAAATCATTTTCGAACATAATGTTTCCGATTTCGAAAAAAAAGATAACGCTGTCATGTGTTAGGCTAAAGCTTAAGAGGTCTGGTTGCAGGAGAATCCAATATCCTTTGCCTGATCTTAAAGCTCAGGCTCTCATTTGCTTCGATTCAAGCTCAACGTAAATAATTTCATATTTCAGTAAATTAAATTGAATTACAATTTTACGGATTCACATCTGACAAATTATCATGTGCAACTCGGGCCAATCCTTACTTTCATGCAAAATAAAAATGAGTAATCATGTTTCTCAAGGTAGGCAGTGATGAATGTGCATCATAATAATTTTTCATACGTGAAATTAAAAATAATAATATTCATGTTCAAAATCGAAGGCGTTAATACTTTTATGACAACTTTAAGTCCTTCATAGTATTTTGATATGTCTCAATTTCACCATATTGCTAGCATCACGTGGATCTCTTAAGTTTGCTATCTTGACCCACCCACACGAACTCTTTCTTTTGGCGAGTAAGTTATGATTTTGAGAGAAAAATTTCATTGAAAAATTTTGTATTTTCGAAATTATTTTCAGTTCATCCTGTGTCATTTAAAAGAAAGCAGCTAAGGAATTTTAAGGTGGAAATTTCGGAAATTAATAAGAAAATTTTCTTAGTTTTACGTAAACCAAAATAATATTGAACTTGAAAACAATAAAATTTGACCTTCCTTAGTGGATTAAAAGTGGAATTAACTGACTTAATCCCAAACACAAAGCAATGTTGAGTGTCGAAAGATTTTGTTGCTTAAAATTAGAAGTCGGTGTGCTCTTTATCGGCTATTTAAATTGTTTAGCATCCATCATATTAATCTTTTTGATAGTCTTTAATTGTGAGCAGAATATTTTTGCACATCCGAGCCCATAAAAGTTAAACATTCGTTTCATATTTCAGATGGAGATGAATTTTTAAAGCTGGTTGGGTCGCTTTTTGCAGCTGTCATTTATTTTCTTTCGAGTTATTTTCTCCTAACCGGAGTAAAAAGCGTAAGTCATAAAAATATTTTTGTATGCTTCCCGGTGAAATTTTTTGGCGCGTTTTTGACAAAATTGTTGCTTTATAAAACACTTTGGGCGATCGATCAGCTGTCTGAGTGATATTATAGCTAATCTTGCATTAGGAAAGTAGCTAGGAATTGAAATCTAACCGTTTAGTTTTCTAACCATTTCCATTTGAATTTTAACCGTCTTTGAAAATTTGAATTTAAAAATTAAAAACATTTTTAAAATTTCTTAAAACCGTTAAAAGAAGAATTTTCAGAATAAGTACTGAAAATTCCTTCAAAATGCGCTTAAACTCCTTTGCCAAATACTAAAAGGATTGAAAATATTATTTATATTTTTTCTAAAGCATGTGCACATTCAAAAATTATTGAAAATTTCATGACATTTTTAATGAAAATAAATTGCATCATTCTGAATTCTTTTTAAATCTTCTCAATCCAATGGCAATAAATTCACCAATATTTTGATTCTTCTTCCAGAGAAATCACATTTACGTATCACCGTTCCGTGCGATTGCCTTCTTTGCGTTTCTTGGACTAACATTTGCAATTGTGCTGACTATTGTCAAACTCAAAGATGATGATAACAGAGAAGTCGGATATCATCACCTTATACTTGAAATATTGGCAGCAATTGTGGTCACATATGTGTTTATTTGTATACATTCAATTCACAAAAGATTTAAGAGTGAGAAATTTGGCAATCGAGCATTTGTATTGAGTTATTAGACTTATTTGGAGAATAAAGGTGTGATTTTGGTTACTTTTACTATAAGATTTTGTGTTTATTTAATCTTTTTTGTGGAATATTGCTTGTTATGAATGCTTCATTTGTCAAATAAGGTTCTCTTAAGTATTTTTGACTCAATGAGCATCAAAAACTAGAAACAACGTATTTGAAAATTTTGAAATTCTACGTTTTTATACCATTTACGTAATGAGTCTACGTATTTTTCAAATTTTGTAACGTTTTTAACGGTTTTTCTTACTTTTGCAATAAAGTGAGTTAAATCATATTTGAAACGTTTAAAAAAATATGTGATTATCAAAATCCAATAATTCAATCAAAATTTGCCATTCTTTCATTCCAAAGATGTTCATTTCATGCAAAATTATGATAGTAATTCTAGCCGTTAAGAAACAATTTTGAACTTCTTTAACTTTTCATACTGCATGAAGTTGGCTGCAAGAAGTATTAACGGTAAAATCATAATTTAAATATCAACGAAAAAATTTGCAAAAACAAGATTCTATCTTTTTGCTAATAAACCCTATTTAACTAATCTAACAATGTCAAAACAGGCTATAAAAAACTCTATCACCTTAAAAGGATCTGCTGCTATCATTAAGGAGTATTTAAGTAAGTAAAATGTTTAAAATTTCCATAAAATTCAATTTCTCTAAATTGTTTACCGGTTCTTTGTAGATTACGGCGTTAATTCTATTCTATTTCAACGAGGAATCTATCCAGCGGAATCTTTTGTTCCTGCACAGCAATATGGACTTACTATTTTAGTGTCAAAAGATGAGAAAATTAAAGATTTTTTGAAAAATGTTCTTAGTCAAGCTGAAGGTGAGAATTTTGCATGTTTTTGTGTATTTATCCTTACTGGATCTTTGTTGTGGTGTATATTTTTGCTTAAAATATGTAGCTTGATCGTTTATTTCACTTACCATTGATCAGTTCTTAGATTTTGGTGTAAATTTCAATTCTTCAATTCCAGAATGGCTAGCTCTCAACAAAGTCGAGAAGTTCTCAATGGTCATCAGCAATGTAAGCACAAAGGAAGTCCTCGAATGTTGGGATTTTCGAGTTGATTCAGAGAGAAATGACCAAAATAAAGATCCAAATGTTGATCCAACCAATCCAACATCATCAAAAGAATTAAAGAAGATCCAGGCTGAAATTGGAGCAGTCATGCGTCAAATTGCAGCAACAGTCAGCTATTTACCACTTCTTGAATGTATTTGCAGCTTCGATTTACTCATTCATACACTAAAGGATTGTGATATACCAGATAATTGGAACGAAACTGAGAACGTATCGATTAAAAACAGCCAAGTCGTAAACCTAAAGTCATTCTCCACAGGCTTGCACAAGCTAGACACGGTCGTTTCATATAAAATGACTGATTGAATGTGTCACATGTGAGGAAATTAGTTCCAGTCATTCCGGTTATGTTTTAAAATCCTAGGATTAATATTTCTGTATTGTCCATATGTGCTATTGCTGCTAAAAAATTCATAAATTTACATATTTTAATTAAACATATTCTAAAGATTATTATCCTATAACTTACTTAACAAATGGTCATCAAATTTTGCAGTAAAAGAAGCGTGACAACTGCATGCATAATTAATTAGCCGGTGAATCTTCAATTCTCGCTCATTTCTCTCAATTTTTGTTGTTGCCACAACGTGGAACTACAGAGTGGAATCGCGGGGAATAGAAAATCATCCAACAGCATTGACTATTTCCACTGAGTACGTTCGATTCTATTTTGTTGTGTACACACGCTATATTGTTTTATGTTTCTCTCACCGCATTGCATTAACAGACACAAAAAGTTGAATTGAAAATTTCTTTCAGTTTTATTTTGATCGCTGCATGGAACAGTCGAATAATCGTGGACATAAAGTCATAGATCCATGAATCAGATCGGTTTTTTCATGGTAGACTGACTTAAAGTGACTTCTTTGAATTATTAAAAAAAAAGTTGTGCTGATTTTGTTCGTCGCGGCACCGTGTGTGGATTATTAATTTTTATGGATTGTGTGACATTTTAGTGGATATTAATAAGATATAAAGCATAATAAGAGGAAGTGAAAGAAATTATTTTTGTGGATTTTAATTAATTTTGTTCTGTAAAATTGGATGTTGCCTTGATCACAAGCCGTGAAGAATAGGATTAATGATGAGAAATTTCATCTATCTTTAAGTAAGTCTCATCAATAAATCGGAAATGATTATTTCTATTTAAAAGATAAAAGAAATTCAATAATGCACAAAAAATAAGTTTTGTACTTACTGTAAAAAAATATTTAAATTGGAAACTGAAAGAGATTTTAAGATCGGAGATGATCACGAAAAGTGAAGTAATTTGTAGCGCCAAAAATTGCTTCAGCATGACAAATTTCCAACAATTGAAAAGAAGAAATCAAAAGATGATTTATTGCTATGATCTTTACGGTTCTTTTGCTTCAACTATGACTTGAGATGGAAATGGAAAATTAAAAATAAAAATATTAAATTGATGTGAAATTCTTAGATTATTGAAGATGTGATTATCTAGATGACAAAATATCGATGAGAAGTTTATTGATTAAAGTCACGAATTCTATTGTGCTGGCTGTAATAATTTCTTTCCTGGAAGTGCTTTATGAAAATTGTTAGATCATGTGAAATTATGTAACTGAAGAACGGGTTTTGCAAGATTTCGAGAATGATTTTACAAGTTTTTGTTTTGGCGAATGCTTCAAAATAATTGTGATTTGTGTTTGGGACTGACTCAGCAGCTTCTTGACTTTTATTTGCTAAAATCAAACAATATTTAATTGCGAATTGGACATTCTTCTTTGTTAAGATTTCAATTGGAAGCAAGGCGTGGAAACTATCTCAAATATCATATTTATCCCACATATCCCAAAAATATTCGAAAAATTCCTAAGCATGTATGCACGATGATAAAGATATCCCAACGTATCCTTAGTGTATTTAACGTGTAATTGTAGGATATGATGGGATATCTCAAATCTAATGCATACAGGCTCAGGGATTATTTTGAATATTTTTGGGATATATGGGATAAATGGGATATTTGGGATAGATTCCACGCCTTGACTGGAAGTGAACTTGTCTACAAAAGTTACGAAACCTATTCTGGGTCAAACTAGGTTTATCAACTTAAACTTCTAGATTTTCCTATAAACTCTTTGCTTTACTTCTTCCAATTCAGATTAAAAACTCTGATGTTTTGTCTACTTTATAAATTCAAAAATCAATTTAAAGTAAGTTTGTTTTTAAAATTGGAAGTTTTTAAAAGCAAAACTGAGTGTGATTCGAACCTTGTAATTATTTTTGAGTTTACTCATTCCAACAAACAATATGTCAAGAGCTGCTTAAATATTAAGTTTCATTTGTCAATTTCTGGTTAATACTTTTTTGGTGAGTTATTCTTGATGTGCATCTAAAGGTTCGATTCCATATATATAACCTTTAATTATTTTATGCTTTTATGAAAAGTCGCCCGTTAGTTTATGACTGTCCAAAATGACAAAATTAGGACAATATTCAGGCTGAATTTCAATTCGATTGGATATATCCCGTCCGTGTACTTACTGGACTCTAAAGAGTAGACTACTATGCAAATTTAAGAACAGTTGATTAAATCTGATGAATTTAACAATTTCTCAAATGATTTGAAATCAGACTTAAGTTCAAAAATGATCATTATCATTAATTCTCAAATCCATAAACTATATCTTCCAGCCTCTTTATTTCCATAATCCATCCAAACACCTATCATCTTCATTATATCTCAAAAGTTTCTTCCCATTAATTTTCCAATATATCACAGTCAATTTCCCAAACTTTAATCATATTCTTCCAATTCCAAATCAATGCATTCACATAACATTTTTATGCTCTATTTGTCCGGTAAGAAATTATGTTTTTTTTGATTTAATGGTCATTTCTGCCTGTTTCTTCATGCTTTTTATTGTCTTTAAGAAATCAGCTGATTCATCTCGTTAAGTTTGAAAGCGCGTAAATGAGCCTGTACGCAACTTTGAGATGTTATGTTGAGTTTACAAATTGATACATATTTTTTTGGCAGTCAAAGAGTATGTGAAAGCGACATGATTCTTAAGCATGAAATTACAATATTATTGCTTTTATTTTTGTTTTGAAGATCAAGACATTTGTTCACTTTCAAATCGATTTGTCAAGTGAATTTAGTGACAATTGTCTAGTTCCTTGATGTGCCAAAACATTAATTTTATGAAAGTTTAAATATTGTCGGAAGCGATTGATTTATTATTCATGATCATAACTGGAATTGGAAATTTATTGTTTTTGAGGCAATAAATTCTTTCTAAATAATGAAAAAAAAATTTACGTCCATCGCCCATTTCTTGTATAATTATGAAAGAAATATTTATTAAAACATAAAGCAGTAAAAATTAAACTTCCGGGCACTGCCATCATGCACTGAATTTAATTATTCTACTTTATATTCTCGTAACGAAAAATCAAAACTTACTTTTTTCATGTGAAGGTATGTTCTGATTTTCGATAGGCTTCGGTGAACTTGCAAAATGCATGAGGGTTCTCGTACCGACAAGTGTGAAATGATTTTCATGGAAATATTAATTTTGTAGTGTTGATTGAAGGTTCGCTAGCTACTTTTACATACTTTTGGAGAGTTCTGTCTGTTGATTTTATTTAGATCCGTTTGCTTTAAGTTGTTTGCATTTTTGCGGTGAATTTGGATTGCCCTCCTACTTAAAGCAAAGCATCACACCACATTTGTCGTACAAACCTAGTTTTTTGAGGTAAACTAGAAATTGTTTGACGAAGCTGTTCACAGAGACAGTATTGCATTTGGTATGGGTAACTGGCAAACGGTAGCCAGCGATAGAGCCAGTTTCAGGCGCCATCTAATGGATGCCATGGATCAAAATTGATCTTTACGACCAGCGAAGTAAGTAAGTAAGTACTAGTAATTGTTTGCTTGATAAAGTCTACCCCTGATTGATCTTCTGTCTATCAAACAATCCTACAGACTATGAGTCAGTTGTGAAAGTTCATTTGATGCTCAATAGGCTCTTCACTGGGGGGTTTATAATAATTTAATTTAATTTTTAAAGATTTTGCACTTAAGAAATTATTTTCATTATTTTTTTTAGCGCATTTTTGAAACTTGTTTCAAAAAGGTAGCTTAATAACGCACTTTGGTCGGCTGGTCGGCTGGTCGGCTGGCTGGTCGGCTGCTAAGAAAAACTTTTAATCTAGACATCGTAGAGAGTTCTAGTTTTTTGCATTAGTTCCGTTATATCGAGTTATTGGCCCGCCGGACATTTAAAAATCTTAAAACAGTGTATTTATGCTATAATTAATGAATTTTTGTTTTGTTTTCAGTGTAACCTGCTCAAATTTTATTTTACCTCTATAATTTCAATATTACCTCTATAATTTCAAAAAATTTCTAGCCGTTGTAAAATTTGAATTTCAAAAAACCGTTAAATGATAAACTTTTTTTGTATGGAAATTCATTGGAACAAATTATTTAATTATACTATAATTATTATTTCGTAGTGCAACTTATAGCGGGAAAATTTCAAACTATTTATTGACCGTTAGAAAATTTGAATTACAAAAAAATGTTAAATGATAAACCCTTTCTGTATGAAAATTCATTGCAACAAATTATTTAATTATACTATAATTAATTTTTTCGTAGTGCAACTTATAGCGGGAAAATTTCAAATTATTATTATATTGACCGTTAGAAAATTTGAATTACAAGAAACCGTTAAATGATAAACTCTTTCTGTATGGAAATTCATTGCAACAAATTGTTTAATTATACTATAATTAATTTTTTCGTAGTGCAACTTTTAACGGCAAAATTTCAAATTATTTACTGACCGTTAGAAAATTTGAATTACAAAAAATCGTTAAATGATAAATCCTTTCTGTATGGAAATTCATTGCAACAAATTATTTAATTATACTATAATTAATTTTTTCGTAGTGCAACTTATAGCGGGAAAATTTCAAATTATTTATTGACCGTTAGAAAATTTGAATTACAAAAAACCGTTAAATGATAAACCCTTTCTGTATGGAAATTCATTGCAACAAATTGTTTAATTATACTATAATTAATTTTTTCGTAGTGCAACTTTTAACGGCAAAATTTCAAATTATTTACTGACCGTTAGAAAATTTGAATTACAAAAAATCGTTAAATGATAAATCCTTTCTGTATGGAAATTCATTGCAACAAATTATTTAATTATACTATAATTAATTTTTTCGTAGTGCAACTTATAGCGGGAAAATTTCAAATTATTTATTGACCGTTAGAAAATTTGAATTACAAAAAACCGTTAAATGATAAACCCTTTCTGTATGGAAATTCATTGCAACAAATTATTTAATTATACTATAATTAATTTTTTCGTAGTGCAACTTATAGCGGG